ACACACACACACACACACACACACACACACACACACACACACACACACACACGCTGAAAGTGGAACTGTAGCTCAGGTTGCAGAGTTCTAGCCTTGAGCACAAAAGCTCAGGGACCTTGCCCAAGCCCTGACTTCAAGCTCCACAACTGGTGCCTCCTCTACCCCCATACAAAAAAACCTTTCCCATTTTTTGCATCTCTTTCAAGCTAGATAAGTTTGAAATATTAATATGCTAGTAAATTATGACTGTGAGATGACTGTATACTAAGATGCCACATGCTGCAGTGTGAACTGAGTTTCAGATTGTGCTTTTCTGTCACCATAACACACTACATTAATTACCCCAACTTTTAGTATATTTTCTAAGCAACACTATCAGATAAGTTGGTATATTATAGAACAATGCTTGCCAAACGTTAATGTGTTTAATAAATCCACAGAGACACTGTCTCATTCTTACTCAAGGGGTATGGCCCATGACTGCATTTAAAACAATTGATGCTTGTATTCTCTCTTTTAGAAAAAAAAATTTTTTTTCCTTTCAACTTAAGATAGCTACCAGGTGGCTCAGGTGGTCGAGTGCTTACTTAGCAAGTACAAGGCAGAGTTCAAACCATACTACCACCAAACCCAAACAAAACTTAGATGTTTTCACATGTATACAAAGACAATAGTAAACATTTGGTCAATCTTGTTTAATTTATTCTATAATTATTGCATATCTGGGCCTAGATGCTATCCCTTAATTTCTTCTGCTCAAAGCTGGTGCTCTACCACTTGAGCTACACCTCTACTTCTGCTTTTTTGGTGTTAAGTTGGAGATAGGAGTCCCATGGACTTTCCTTTCTGGGCTGCCTTCAAACTGAAATCCTTAGGTCTTACCCTCCGAAGCAGTTAGGATTACAGACATGAGCCATCAGTGCCCAGCTGACAATAATTTTTAAATAAATCATATAACCTGACTACATACTAACTAAAATTCCCAAGTGAACACCTGTGTGGGCAGGTACAGGCTGCACTACCAACAGATGACCCATGTCTTTTTTCCTGCCAACCTAGATTTCTTGGTCTGATTAGCCCACCTTAATTAACTAGAAAATTATTTAAAATCATGGTCTCTTTCAAATGAAGTACAAAGCAAAGCCATTCAAATGACAAGTCACTAGATTTAAGTTTATAATTTCATTTTCAAGGGAACGTCTCACATGAATGAACAAAAGATCTTTTTATTCGACAACTCCACAAAGAAGCTTGCTTGCCTCCTCTCAGCTTTTGAGAAATCTCATTTACTGACAGTAAAAATTATGACTTGTTCATGACAAGGAACAGACAAGTCATAATTGTTAAAGAAGATTTACATTTGCTTGAATTAGGTCAGAGCAACAACACAACTTGGATTTCTACTTCTGCCCCCATTATTCAATCAGACTACAACTTCCTCCCAAAGAGAGGCAGATGGGAAGTATCATAACCTCCCACAGAGAGGCAGATGATAAGTACAGTAAAAGCACTGAGAGTGATCACTTATCAAAAACATTGAAGATGGAGAGAAAGAACAGCATCCATCACTTACTAGTAGGAGTTGTTGGCTGAGAACCTTCCTTGTCTTCTTTATCCATGTACGTCAGTGCTCTTTTAGACCGAGGCCTGGTGACTGGTCTGTCCGGTTGGCTGTCCCGGTTTGAGGTGTACTTGCAAGGGGGTAGATAGAGGTCATCAGAGTCATTTTCAGAAACACTAGATTCACAATTGCTTGCTTCAGACTGATTGCTATTTTCTTCTCTAGTAGAATCACTGTTCATTTTTTGTCGGAAAGGAGTGAGGTGAACACCCTCTTCCAAATTAAAATTGTAAGCATCATTGGAACTGACAGCATCATCCATATTTTTTTTGCAAACAGTTTGCTTATTTCCACTTTGGTTTCCTTTATTCTTTGATTTAGATTCTGACCTTCTTCTTTGGGCTTTTCTTTTTTTTTCTCTTTTTCTTTGTGTGTTGTTAGACTTACTTTTAATTTGTTCAGGTTTAGGGTCCAAAATGATTTCTTTTGTTTTGGTAAAGTTTCTTGGGTGAATTGGCCTTGGTGACTTGTTAATTTGGTCTTTATTCCACTGACAAAACTTTCCTTGTGTATTTTCAAGTATGCGCACGTTTACTGTTGGGTCTATGTATTTAACACTTTCCAGTTCAACAGATGGCCCTGTAAAATGACTGGTTTCAAAATTCTCCAAGGGACTACATTCACTTAAACTATGAAAGTCTTTTCTTAAATGGCGACGGAGAGATACTGTCCTGGGTAAGACATCATCAGAACATTTAGCATCACTTGTATCCAAATCACATCCAAGTGCATCTTGAGAAAAAGCAGTTATTTGCTCTAAGAGTTAAAAAAACAAGAGAAAATTTTAGGTTTTGGAAATGTGAACTTCAAATACTAAATTTAAAGTTGTAGAAAAATCATTCTATTAATTTTTTCTACATTTACAATAAGCAAACAAAACTGGGAAAACATAATATGACCATTATTTGTTACTAAGCAACTGATGGTTTGTATTTAACCTGTGAGAAAATATCATGTACTTTTAAAAACTAGTCTTAAGATGAGGTTATATTAGGTCCAAAGGTTTAAAGGAAAATGAATGATCTCCATAACAGGGAAGGAGAGGAAAAGAGCTTCATATTCCAAAGTGGGAAAAAATATACCGAGGAAGTGTAAGCTAAGTTGTTCTATGAAAAGTAAGATTTGGATAATTGGAAGGCCACGAAGATAAGAAATATAAACTGTACTTATAGGAAAATAAGGATATTCATCTGTTTTTGCTTATTCTAAAACTATTTCTTCCTTTTCTTTTTTTGGAGGGGGTAAATGACAGCAAAGAAAAAGATTTGGAAAGCTAGCAACATGTCTCCCTGCCCCCCCAAGTGGGCTAATGTCAATGAACGGCCATCTTAGGGGACTCATCTTTATAGGGAAAGAAAAAAAGAACAGAGGGCAGTGAGCAGGAAAGAACTGATGACCAGATTGCCAGACGCTACTGCATGGCCTGATGTGGAGGCTGTCTTAGTTCACTTGTCTTGGTGTCTTCAGTGGTTTTGGAGGCCAGAGCAAGGAGTCTTTGCTGGTGGAGACACTGTAGTCAGAGACAGTCCTGGTAAGGGGGCCAGTCTATCCCTCTTCAAAGCTCAGTGTAAGTAGAGGGGTATTGATAATAATCTGGACACATCAATTTCAAAGTAGAAAGGTATGGCTTCAGAGTTGAGTTAAAACCCTACCTCTCACCATCATCTGGATTACTTTTTGTGTAATACTTTACTTTTTTGAATCTGTATAACATGGAGCCAGATGTAGCTTTATTCCTAGCATTTGTGGAGTCTAGGTAGGATAATGTATGTAAAGTGCACTGCCCAGAGCTTAGCATATAGTAGGACTTAATAAACTCCAGCCATAGCAATTGACTGGGCTTTTGACTGCAGATTTGGCACAATGGCTTTATTTTTTGTTTTTTTTGGTCAGTTGTAGGGCTTGTACTCAGGGGATAGGTGCTGTCCCTGAGCTTTTTTGATCAAGGCTAGTGCTCTACCACTTTGAGCCACAGTTCCACTTCCTGTTTTGGGGTGCTTAACTGAAGATAAGAATCTCACAGACTTTCCTGCCTGGGCTGGCTTTGAACTTCGATCCTAATATCTGTCTCCTGAGTAGCTAGGATTATAGGTGTGAGCCACCAGCACCTGGCTATTTTTCTTTTTTTTTTGAGATAGTATCTCATTTTATATACATCTAGTCCAGGCTGGCCTCAAATTCCAGGTTTTCCTGCTGCTAGTTATTTTTTGGTCATGGAACTTGAACTCTGGGCCTGGGCACTGTCTGAGCTATTCAGCTCAAGGTGAGTGTTCTACCACTTAAGCCACAGCACCACTTCTGGTTTTCTGGTGGTTAACTGGAGGTAAGAGTCTTATGGACTTTACTGCCCAGGCTGGCTTTGAACCACGATCCTCAGATCTCAGCCTCCTGTGTAGCTAGGATTACAGGCATGAGCTACTGGCACTGGCTTTCCTGACTCTATTTCTTAAGTGATGGGACTTACACCAACACCTGACTTTATATATATATTATATATATATATATATATATATTTTTTTTTTTTTTTTGCCTGTCACTGAGGTTTCATATTCAACACTAGCTCTCTACCACTTGAACCACAGCTCCACTTCTGCCTTTTTGGTGGTTTACTGGAGATCAAAGTCTCACAGTCTGGCTTACTTCACTTAATTTTTTCCAAGTCTTTCCATTTCCTAACAAATGGGGCGGTGTCATTCTTTCTGATGGAGGCATAGAATTCATATATGGGTGTGTGTGTGTGTGTTTGATACACACACACACACATATATATATATATCACATTTTCTTGATCCATTCATCTACTGAGGGGCATCTGGGTAGAGGGGAAGGGAAATAATAAAATGCTAAAATAAGGATTCAGGATAACCCATTGTAACGAGATGTACAAGACACTATGCTGAAAACAAACTGTACAACTTTGTAGGAGGGTTGGGAAGTTGGGGAGGAATGGAATGGTAGAGGAAAAACAAAGGAGGGAGTAATAATGCTTGATAGGAAATGGACTCATTACCTTGCTCATGTAACCCCTCTGTACAGTATCTTTACAATAAAATATATATTAAAAAAAAAAAAGTCTCAGATTTTCCTGCCAGGGCTGACTCTGAACCATGATCCTTAGCTCTTAGTTACTTGAGTAGCTGAAATTACAAGTATTAGCCACCAGTGCTCGGCTACATGGATTTATTTTAAACCTGTATTATTCTATGTAAAAGAAATAGATTTGCTTTGAGCAGAATACCAGATGAAGAGATTTAAAATTTAAATTAAGGGCTAGGAAGGTGGCTCAGTGGTAGAGCTCTTGCCTTGCATGCACGAGGCCCTGGGTTCGATTCCTCAGCACCACATAAGCAAAAAAGAAAAAAGCTGGAAGTGGCGCTGTGGTTCAAGTGGTAGAGTGCTAGCCTTGAGGTGAAGAGCTGAGGGACAGTGCCCAGGCCCAGAATTCAGGCCCACGACTGGACCCCCCCAAATTTTTTTTTTTAATTAAAAAAAGAGAAATTAGGCTATTTTTTCTTCAAAGATTGTGCTCCTAATATTTTTAGATTTTTCTTGGATTACCTTCTACTTCGAATGACTCCTTGTGTCCTGGAAGGTCAATTTCTTGAGGAGGAACTTGCCTTAGAAAATGAAAATTAAAAATTAATTTAGCAATTATAAAAGAGAGCCAAATTTAATATTTTCTAAAATTATATTTTCCCCTTTCCTTAGTATTATTTCATAATTGCATTCCAAACTAATACACATCTGTTCTCCATCAAAGGAAACCAAAACCATTTATAGCAATTATATGGTGACTTATTTGTTACAACTGACATTCAGATCCCATTAGAGAGCTGGAAAGTTCCCCCTGAAAACATGCCATCATTCAATTTCATTTACTGGAAATAACACCCAACTTACACACACACACACACACACACACACACACACACACACACGTTTGTGTGCATGTGTATAATTTTTTCTTTTAATGCAGCTTGGTTGCTCAACTATTTAGGACATGGTTTATCATAGGCTCTACTGTGATTTGTTAGTGATAAATGCTTTAATGGTTTCAACTACTGAACTCTTCTGTAACTGTTTAACATTCACTCTCTTTAAAAACAAAATCAGTATTAGATTAATGAAGCAATTTTTTAAATATTCAAAACCTATTACAGGAAGCTTAATTCTACTCATAACTTCATTCTTTGTAGAGAATTTCCCACTCTAGCTTATGGGTTAGAAATTGTCTCAGTCAGTACTTGGTGAGGAGAAGGGAGGGAGTTAAAAGCAACAAAGGGAACTGTCTATAGCAACAGTCCTCCTGGGAGCAAGTATGCTTTCTAGGGGATTATCTGCCAATATTTGGAATCATTTTTAGTCTCAGACATGGAGCAGGATGATGTTGCTGGTACTGTCAGTAACTACTATACCCCATAATGCTTAGAAACCTGGGCCACATGGTAAGAGTAAGTAATCCTGGGCTGCATTGAGAGCAATGTTGCATGTTTTTCTTTTGTGTGTGTGTTTTTATTAAACAGGCTCTTGCTATGAAACTCAGGCTGTCTTTGAACTTGAAATCCTTCTAGCCTCTACCTCGTTAAGTGTTGGGATTATTGGCCTGGCTTAAAGTTCCATATTATAATTCAATTTGGGTTTCAATGAGTTAAACTAATCTCAGCAATTCATAACAACCATAAAAGACACTTGATCCAAGAGAAAAGGGTATGTGGGCGTTGCGGGGGGGGGGGTCAGATAGAAAAAGGACTTGGATCAATGAGACAGTGTGACGGATATATTAAAGGTGATGCTTTATTATTATTATTATTTGGTGGTTGTGGGCCTGAACTCAGGGCCTGGGCACTGTCCATCAGCTCTTCAGCTCAAGGCTAGTGCTCTACCACTGAGCCACCTCAGCCCCAAAGGTGATGTTTTATTATACAGTTTTTCCTAAATCAGACTACTAGTATTACTTGCTGGTCCTTGGGCTTGAACTCAGGGCCTGGGCATTGTCCCTGAGCTTAATTTGCTCATGACTAGCGCTCTATCACCTGAGCCAGCTCCACTTCTGGCTTTTTTGGTAATTTATTAGAAGTAAGTCTCATGGACTGTCCTGCCCTGCCTGGCTTTGAATTGTGAGTCTCAGATCTCATCCTCCTAAGTAGCTAGGATTGCAGATGTGAGCCATCAAAGCCTGGTTGAACCAGATTATTTTTAAGATTGGAAATTTTCTTTTTAATGATTGCTTCTTAGAATAAAAACAGTACATATAAGGGAAAAATGACTAAAGGAAAATTAGTTTTAAAATATTTCTGAGTTAGGTCCAATGGTATCCATCTAAGCTACTGAGGGAATAAAAAAAAAAAAAGACCATGGGGACAGGCTAGACAGGGCAAAAGTGAGACCCTATCTGAAAAGAAACTAAAGCAAAAAGGGCAGGAGCATGGCTTAAGTGGTAGAATACTTACCCAGCAAGAGCAAGGCCCAAAGTTCAAACAATAGTATATAAAAAAAAAGTGAATACAGTAAATAACAAATAAAAGTAAAAGCTGTGAGCATGCACAGTGGTGTATGCCTGTAATTCTAGTACTTAAAAGGTAGAGGAATACTTGTGAGACTTTGTTTTAGAACACAAGAAAATCAACAAATGAACATACAAGATCTAGTGAAGCTGGGCGCCAGTGGCTCATGCCTATAATCTTAGTTATTCAGGAGGCTGAGATCTGAGATCAAGGTTCAAAGCCAGCCCGGGCAAGGAAAGTCCACGAGACTCTTACCTCCAATTAACCACCAGAAAAACCAGATGTGGCAGTGTGGCTCAAGTGGTAGAGCACTTGTCTTGATCTGAATAGCTCTGGGACAAGCCCCAAATTGACAAAAACAAAACAAAACAAAAAAATAGACCTAGTGAAGCTTCTGTCACCTACCTGGACATTGAAGAGGTAACTAAATATAAGACAAAGAAAGCTCACATTTGGCTATACAGAATTTTAACACATCAAATTTTCTTACATACATTCTAGATATAGCATCAGACTCCATGATACAAACTTTCTTTTGTAAATGGATCACAAAATTAAATCTTTCTCAGTATGTATAACCATACTAATAAATTTGATACTAACCGTAAATCCTTCACTGATAAATCACAGGAACTGCTGTCACCACTGGAGTCCATTTTAGAGGGAGATATCTCCTGGTTCTGTTATGGTATTAAAACAGAAGAAAACAATGAACTGTGTACTATTGTACAAGTGTGTAAAAACACAGTTATAAATGTGCATTACTGAACAAATGAACTCTTTCACCATATCTACTTACTAACAGTCCACTATAGTATCAAGCAGCTTAGGAATTGGGACTAGGACAGCTGAGAAGTAATCAAACCCTGTCCTCCTAAAGCTTTCATTCTAGGCTTGATATATATATATAATAAATATAATGGGGCTGGGAAGGTGGCTCTCTGGTAGAGTGCTTGCCTTGCATGCGTGGGGCCCTGGGTTCCATTCCTCAGCACCACATAAACAAAAAGAAAAAAGCCGGAAGTGGCACTGTGGCTCAAGTGGTAGAGCGCTAGCCTTGAGCTGAAGAGCTGAGGGACAGCGCCCAGGCCCAGAGTTCAGGCCCCACGACCGGACCCCCCCAAAAAAAAAATTATGGAGAGGAAAAAACATACACAATATGTTTGGGAAAGAAAAAAATAGGATTGTGTTTTGTACAAACTATGCTTGAGAAGCTTTCCAACTATTTAAGTGGAGATATATAGTAGCAGTTCTCCGTGTGTGTGTGCATAGGTTTTGAGTTATGGACTTGAAAATTACCAGTAGATGGTATATGAGAGTAGAGCAATTGGCATTTAAAAATAAGCCACCAGCAAGGAGACTGACTGAGAGCAGTAAAGTAGAAAGCTAGCAGGGGGCTTATGCCAAGAAAGACAAGAGATACAAAGTTTCAGACGAAGAGTGTTTTGTTGCAAACTACTGCATGTGTGCATGGTCACTAAAGTGACTAGAGTGTGGAAATGCGGAAGTTCAGTATATAATATTGTATTTTAAGGAATTCTAAAAAGTTGATAAATCCCTTTTTTTTGGTGGGTCGTGGGCCTGAACTCTGGGCCTGGCCACTGTCCCCCAGCTCTTCAGTTCAAGGCTAGCGCTCTACCACTTGAGCCACAGTACCACTTCTGGCTTTTTCACTTATGTAATGCTGAGGAATCAAACCCAGGGCCTTATGCATGCTTGGCAAGCACTCTACCACTGAGCCACCTTCCCAGCCCAAAAGTTGATAAATCTTAAAGAATCTGTAATTATGGAATTTTCTCCTCAATGTTTTGTGATATTATTGAGTATTCAATCTATACTATTCCATTTGATTTCAGCAAAAACTAGAAAGTAAGCAGGAGGATTCATGTATTTGGTGAGCTATTTTACCACCTACAACTGACTGAATAAAGAAAAAGCAAAGATTATACATTGAAGAAAAATTTAAATAACCCTTATACAAATGTGAAATCAATCTGTGTATTGTTTTTATATCACATAAAGCATAAGTACATGTATACATGCATATATAATCTATATCACATACTTAAAATAAGGAATCATAAGCTCTTTTATTGCCTTTTAGCATCACAGCAGTGGCTTTAGTTCCTTCCTCAAGCTCACCCCCACAACAGGCTTTCTTAGCTGGTCAGCTGGAGTAAGTACCAATGCAATGGAATTTGCTGACACTGCAAAAACCTGGCTGCTGGGGAGAACATCAACTGTACTGTTGACACTTGACATGCTTCTCTTTTTCTCTGTCCTGTGTACTTTCTCAGGCAGTGGCTTCTGGGAAAAGGGAAGCAGGAACTAGCTCATCATTACTCTTCTCAGGATTAACCAACAGAAAGACATAAAAAAATATATCCTAAGACAAACTTTGTCCATGTTTGTTGTCTTTTGGCTAGCAGTTCCATATTTGAACCTCTTCTTTATAATCTTGGACACAAATAGAATCAAATAAAAAAATATGGCTACTAAAATGTTCAGAAGGTTTCTTACCTGGAATTTAGGATGTATTCTTACCTATTTAGCTATTTGATATTTCACTTCAATACTCCTGTTCCGGGGAGATATACTGTACACACAGTAGTTCTTACAAAACTCCACTAGATAATAAACTACATAGAAAAGTTCACATAAAAATGAAGATAACCTTGATGAAACTTTTGGACTAGTGTCCCTCAACTATCAACTTCGACCTTTAGCTGTTGCCTAGTTGTTTGAAACATTCAAAGAGGACCAGGAGAAGCAAAACAGTATTTCTTCTGCACATGGCTTTGCTACCTACTTGAAGAAGCAAGTCAGGCAGGTATAAGCCTCAAAATCATCTACATGCTTGAAATATCCTTACTGGCAACACATCTGTGCCACAGCATAGGTCTACTACTAAAAAAGACGTCAGATATTAACTTAAAAATAAGTGAATTTGCTGGGTGCTGGTGTTTCACATTTGTAATCCTAGCTACTCAAGAGGATGAGATATGAGGATCAAGGTTTGAAGCCAGCTTGAGCAGGAAAGTCCCTGAGACTCTTATCTCCAACGAATTACCAAAAACGCAGGAAATGGAGGTGGCTTAAGTGGTAGAGGACAGTCTTGAGCACAAAAAGCTTGGGACAGCACCCAGGCCCCAAGTTCAAGCCTCAGGACTGGCTCAAACAAACAAAGATCTAAAGTGCTTATTATAGGGTATTTTTTTTCAATATTTGCAATAAAAATACCTGAACTGTTTCTTTTGTTTGTTGGGAAGTGAGCTTTTCTTTCAATGCATACAGTTGGCACATGAGGTAGTAGCATTCTTTTCTTAGCTGTAGTATCACTTCTTCGGCTTCTCGTACTTTGAATTTTTCATTTTGCAAAGCTACAACTAACATTCTGTTGTTGTCCTGGTAATTCTTCAGCAATGTAGAAGTGTTGGCTAGAAGAAGATAAATGAGAATGGTTAGTTATTAACTCTAAACTTAAAAAGTGATGTAACAGGATAACATCAGAACCTCTTACTGATCACTTGGCAGGGTGCAGCTATGAAGGACTTGCGTCTGCCGATCTCTGCCAAGTTTTTGTTCCTTTTCTCTTTCATTCGCTTCTTTATGTTTTCAAGACTATCCTGAAAAGACTTTTTCTGGCATCTTTCCTTGGCCATCTTTTACCTACAAATCTAGAAGAGTAAAGAATAATTGTTCTCAGAGATATTTTCAAACACCAAACTCAAGTTTGAACACACAGGTTGCTCATAAATAGGGCTGAAGTAGAGATTAACTGTAGAATTACTCAAAGTAGGTTAGCTAGGTAATCTGGTCACAGCTTCGATGTTGCAGCTTTAAAAGCTCACTAGTAATAGGATGCTATAGCCTCTGCATGTAATCCCAGCTACTCCAGAGGACAAGGCAGGGGGATCATGGGTTTGAGGCCAGCTTGGGCAACACAGTGACATCCCACCTCAAAAAAAACCAGAAACCATGTTAGAATTGAGTACATACACATAAAAAAAACCCTATAAAATCTCAATATTTTTTGACATAATCTTATTTTCCTCCACTATTTTATAGGAAAGATTTATTTTGTCAGTCATGGGTTTGAACTCAGGGTCTGGGAATTGTCCTTGAGCTCTTTTGCTCAAGGCTAGTGCTCTATGACTTAGAGCCACAGCTCCACTTCCAGTTTTTCTTTTTGTTTTAAGTGGTTATTTGCAGGTAAGAGTATGAATTCATGGGGACTTTTTTGCCCTGCCTGAGCTGGCTTTTGGTCAGATCTTAGCCTCTTAAGTAGCCAGGATTACAGACATGAGCCACTAGTGCCTTGCTAGGAAGGCTTTATTAAACAGACTTTTTCAACCCAAAGGATTCCAGAATATATTCATTCTTTAATGAATACTCATTGGGCCTACTATACTCATTTTTTTCCTGCATCAGTTTCCCAAAGAGATGGGGCAACAGACATGTACCACTACATCAAGCATGTGTGTATGTGTGAGTGTGTGTGTATTATGCCATTATTATTAAGTTTCAAAAATGTTTACAGGTCAGTTTTATGCTTAGGTTGACTGTACTAGTTCACCAACCAAATACGCATAGTTGAGCTCTATGTTCTAGCTTTTCTCTAGTTATTACTTCATTAGATCAGGTCCTCAAATTACTTGCCTCTCTATGCAGCACTTTTAACCCAATATCATTTTAGATAGCCACATACACTTAAGGTCAAAGTGATTTCCAAAGGTTTGAACTATGTAGCACTATATACAATTTTAATAGATTACAATTACAGAGCTAGGAAGAAAAAGAACCAGGGCAGAGAGACACGCCAGCATTCTCAAAGTCTCAGACTGCTAATTCCCAGTATGTTATGAACACAGAACATTGGACATCATTAAACTGACAATTAACAGTAGCAAAACAGGGAGGCCCTGGTGGCTTGGTCCTGTAATCCTAGCTGCTTAGGGTTTAGAGATCTGAGGATTCAGAGTGTGAAGCCAGCCTGGGCACGAGAGTCTATAACTCTTATCTCCAATTAACTACCAAAAAGTCAGAAGTGAAGCTGTGGCTCAAGTGGCAGAGTGCTAGCCTTGAGCAAAAAAGCTTTGGTATACATATACCACATTTTCTTGATCCATTCATTTACTGAGGGGCATCTGGGTTGGTTCCATATCTTAGTTATGGTAAATAATGCTGCAGTAAACATAGCTGTGCTGGTAGCTTTAGTGTGGTCTGGCTTGTGATCATTTGGGTAGATGCCCAAAAGTGGGATTGCTGGGTCACAGGGGAGCTCTATGTAGAGTCTTTTGAGGAACCTCCATACTGTTTTCCAAAGTGGTTGAACAAGTTTACACTCCTACCAACAATGCAGTAAAGTTCCCTTCTGTCCACATCCCCTCTAGCATCTGTTGTTATTAGAGTTCTTGATTATAGCCATTCTAACTGGGGTGAGGTGGAATCTCAATGCTGTTTTGATTTACATTTCTTTTATGGCTAGAGAGGTTGAACATTTCTTTACTCCTCCATCAGAAAGAATGACATTGCCCCATTTGTTAGGAAGTGGAAAGACTTGGAAAAAATTATATTAAGTGAAGTAAGCTGGGCCCAAAGAAACATAGGTCCCATGGTTTCCCTTGTAACTAGTACATGTGTAAGACAAGCAGAAAAGGCCAAAAGCTATGTACATAAGACCATATAAAATGATGTTAAAAGAAATGAACCCCAAGATAGAGACATAAATATCTTTTTTGTTTCTTGCTATTGTTTCTAATGTAATTATAATGTACCATGTGATTTTTTTTTTTTGCTTTGTATGCTCCTCCCTCATGGTATAACCCCTATTTTCACTGTATTTGACGTGGGTGCCCTGCATCTTGTATATACACTTCTCTAATTCGAGGAGGAAAAGAGAAAAAACAAGATGATTAAATAAGGATACAGGTCGATCCATTGTAACAGTGAGATGTACAAAACACTATGTTGAAAAATGAACTTTACAACTTCGATGGGGGTAAAGGGGGTGGTTGTGGAGGTGGGAGGGAAGGGATGGTAGGGGGAAAACAAAGGAGGAAGCAACAATGCTCAATAGGAAGTGTACTCATTACCTTGCTCATATAACTGTAACCCCTCTGTACAGCATTTTTACAATAAAAAACATACAGGAAAGAAAAAAAAAGCTTTGGTAGTATCTGGGCCCTGAATTCAAACCCCAGGATAGGCATACACACAAAGAAAAACAAAATAAGTACACTTAATCTTTCTGTGCTGCCAATCAGATGTATGCTAGTATGTATGACAAACTATTATTATTATTTTTTTTTTTGTCTGTCGTGAGGCTTGAACTCTGGGCCTGGGCTCAGCTCTTCAGCTCAAGGCTAGCACTCTACCACTTGAGCCACAGCACCACTTCCGGTTTTTCTGGTGGTTTATTGGAGGTAAGAGTCTCATGAACTTTCCTGCCCGGGGCTGGCTTTGAACTGCGATCCTCCAGTCTCAGCCTCCTGAATAACTAGAATCTGAGCTACTTGTGAGTCACCGGTGTCCTGCTTAACGAACTACTTTTCATGAACGCTTTTAATACTAGTCTGCACTTCCCAACTCTTACACTTGCAAACAAAGGCAACAAGCTAGTGCTACAATCTTCATCACAAAGCTGATCACCTCCATCAACTATCTGTTATTCTGCTCTGCAGGGTCTGGGACCTTACACGGATCGGGTAGGTCCATCTTCACTCTGTACAGACAGCCTTCTGGACGCGTCCAGCGGATGGGCGCAGCTATTCTTGTTTGTAAAGCCCCGGTAGTAACTCAATTAGATAAAGCAACCGGCCCCAGGAAGTTTCTGGAGGCTGCCCTGCAGGTGTGTGCAGGTGTGTTCTTACGGAAAGTGTTCGTGATTACATCTAAGAATCACGGACCAGACGTCCGGCCGGCTTCTCCGGGGAGG